AGCCGCAGAGGCGCCGCGGCGGCGGGGAAAAGCCCGTTTTCTTTTTCGCGCGGGCGGAACGGGCGGCTTCAGTCGTCTTACAGCGACCCGTTTGGTTAAACACGCGTTGCGGTCGTGGCAAATGGTGTTGCCGTTCGTTAGAGCGGTTTCAGTGGTGTCATTGCCAGAATGCCGTGATGTTTAATGTTCGGGGATGTGTTTCCTATGAGCGTAAATTATCGACGGGACAGCGAGCGATTGATAAAAATATGTATTACTCTAAGCTTGTGGCTGTTTAAATTATCTTGTCATCATTTACAAAGTCAGAGGTGAAACGACAAGAGCAAACAGGCACGATATTTCCTTGATGAGTTATAATTGCTGTAATTGATCTGTGTCCGTCATTCTGAAGCAGCGTCGTGACTGCTCAGCAGTTTGTGTCGTGGAAGGAAACGGAAGCCACAGTTCAGGATGCCTCGTCCTTACACCTTCTGAGACAGCCTGCGTTTGCCGTAGACGCCAGTCATTGCTAAGATCTGTTCCAGACACTGAGGTGATGCACCAGCTTTGGTGATACCAGATTTTTATTTAATCTTTGTGGTTTATTGGTTCTTAAAACGGTGCTGTGACAATGCCTACTTCCAGCTCTTAAATGGCTTTATTGTTAAAGGTGGTTCCCTGTAGCTTTACAGTCTGCTGCTTTTTACGCCAGCGTGAAAACCCAGGGGTGATAGTAGGTAACTGAGCTTTATATCTTGGTAAGGGATATAAAAGATTTTACGCTGTCTCAGGTTGGGTCATTAATATCCCCTGACTGCAGTTACCACTGTTGTAATCTGAGGACAGGCTGGTAAGTAATAAACCCTACTAAATTCCAGTCAGCTCTTATTCCTAAACGGAGAAGTGATGGATCAGTGAGGACTTGGTTTGATAATGGTTACATTCAATAGTGTAAAAGAGAAATCTTCCTTTTCAGAACCTAGGAGATGGTGGTTATCTAGTTTTATATTGTACCTCTTGCAGAAAATAA